ACGTTACTCTCTCTCTCTCTCTCTCTCTCTCTCTCTCTCTCTCTCTCATGGAATTACATACTTCACTGATTATGTTTATGCGTAGCATCTTTTGTGTTTTCATGAAACATGAATCATTGCTTTTTTATTTTTAAGTACTTCAACAATTGAAAGTTATATGTTTGTGTCCTCATCCAAGTGGGCAGAAAAATTTACCAGGTCACACTATTATGTTGTTGCTTTCTATTTTGTTACCTGAAGATTTCAATACGGATAAATACATTATCTATTTGTCCACTCAGCACTTGAATTGAGTTGACGAGATTCAGGTGGTCGCTTTACAAGAGACGATAAAAGAATACACTTGAAGCCTACAAGGAGAAAAATAGGTATGAAAATAGATATGGGGTGGTAGATTTACAAGAGAAAATAAAATAATGCACTTGAAGCCTACAGGTAGATAGATAGATAAAGAGAAGGAGAAAGAGAGAGAAAGAGAGAGAGAGAGAGACAGAGAAATAGAGAGAGAGAGATCGTAAAAAGAGATAGTTATCATTAAATTCCGAGACAAAAGGAGACAAGTTAGAAGAGAAAGGAGGGATAATTCTCTCTCATTAACATTAGATTCAAAGAAAGGTGATAGAGAGAATAAAGACTAGGCTATGTGCACATAAAAAAGCTACTTAACTTGTTGGAATTAGGATATCTATACAACATATGTTAAGCCACAGCTAAGGGCAGGGCACATGTCATCCAACCAGGAAAAAGAACAATTAAAAGAGAGAACTTACAATCTCAAACCTACTAAAGGGAATATTTCAACACACATGCACACACACACACACGTAGAGAGAGAGAGAGAGAGATGCTTTATTGTGCCTTAACCTTACATAGGATAGATATCTCTGACTCCCAAAAAGGGTCTAAATATAAATTCCTAAAGCCAATCCAAGGGAAACCTATGTTAATTCTTCTCCCTGTTCCTATACGCACTCTTTCTATTGGCTCCATGTGATTCTCTCCTCACTGAAATCTACCTTACACATTGAAAGGAATCGAAATAAATCCCCTTAACTCAATCCAACTTTTTGGCGGCCAAATCAACAATTGCATCTCCTTTGCATGTCAAGTTTATAGAGAGTTTATCTCGCTATAGGCATTCCGAGAGAGAGAGAGAGAGAGAGAGAGAGAGAGTACTTAGTAAGAACGAACGCTAGTAGTAGTCGTCTTCTTCGTGGTCGTTACGTTACGTACGTTACGTTACGTTAGTAAGTTAAGGAAGGTA